CTGAGCCACCCACTCCTCAGGTCTATAAACTGCAGTGTCCAAAAGAGAAGGTGGCATGTTTGAGAGAGTGGATGACTTCTAAGATGGTCATGTCAGGGAAGCAGCTGAGCACGCCCAGCAGTGAGCCTGCATCATGGGCTATACAGACGGTCTCTGCCGGCCCAGTGCCCCGTGACGTCCGAAGGTGCGTGATGTTCAGCTGCGATCCTTCAGAAAGTGACAAGAGCGGGCTCTGTGTGTTGTAGTCATTAAATGGGTCTGGGAAAATTAAAGTCATGTGGAGAGACATTCATTAAACTATGCCGAAAGCATTCATGGTTTTCGGGGCCAGCAGGTGGCAAGGTAGTTACGGTGCTGGATTCCCACATGGTCAGCCACAATTTGAGTCCTGTATCCGGCAATTTGAACCAGCAGTGAGCCTGCATCATGGGCTATACAGACGGTCTCTGCCGGCCCAGTGCCCCGTGACGTCCGAAGGTGCATGATGTTCAGTTGCGATCCTTCAGAAAGTGACAAGAGCGAGCTCTGTGTGTTGTAGTCATTAAATGGGTCTGGGAAAATTAAAGTCATGTGGAGAGACATTCATTAAACTATGCTGAAAGCATTCATGGTTTTTGGGGCCAGCAGGTGGCACGGTAGTTAAGGTGCTGGATTCCCACATGGTCAGCCACAATTTGAGTCCTGTATCCAGCAATTTGAAAATCACACTAGAGGGAACCAGCAGTTAGCGTAATGGCTATGTCGCTGGACTCCCACGTAGTCAACCGCAGTTCGCGTCCTTGACCTGGTGGCTTAAAACTCACGCCGGGCGCGTGTGTGTGCGTGCCCAAGATCCCGAGAGGAGAATGGAGGAGAAGGGATTGTGGCATGGCCATCTTCCCAAGGGATGATTTCTCACTTTCCCTTCTCTCTGGTGAGCGCATGTATACCCTGTGACAAAAAACCTTAAAAGAAGAAGAAAGAAAGAAGGAAAGAAAGAAAGAAGAGAAAGAAATAAATAAAAAGAAAGAAGATAAAGAAAGTAAAAGAAAGAAAAGAAAAAAAGAAGAAAGAAAGAAAGAAGAAAGAAAGAAAGGAAGGAAGGAAGGAAGAAAGAAAGAAAGAAAGAAAAGGGACCAGCAGATGGTGTAATGGTTATGTTGCTGGACTTCCACATGGTTCAAGTCCCGGACGTGGTGGCTTAAAACTCATGCCGGGTTTATGTATGTACGTGTCCAAGGTCCTGAGAGGAGAATGGAAGAGAAGGGATTGTAGTGTGGCCAGCCCCCTTGGGAGGTGATTTCTTGCTTCCCGTCTCTCTGATGAGTGTACATGCCCTATAAAAAAAAAAAAATCTCTCTAAAACCAAAAAAATTCATGGTTTGGACCAGCCTGTGGTGTGGTGGTTAAGGTCTGTGGATCGCACATGGCCAACCTTGCAATTTGAGTCCTGGGTCCAGCAGCTTGAGAAATACATGGGTTGCGCGCGCGCGCGCGCGTGTGTGTGTGTGTGTGTGTGTGTGTGTGTGCGCGCGCGCGCGCGCGCGAATCCTCGCAGGAGGGAGCAGTGGGGGAGAAGGAATGGCAGTGTGACCATTCCCCACGGGTGGTGCTTTCCCCTCTCCCCGCACTCTATCTCTCTCTGGCAAGCTCACCTACCTTCTAGCAAATTCAAAAACAATCCCAGCTTCATTTCAGAAGCGCTGCAAAGACAGGAAGCTGGCATGTGGGAGGCGTGGCCAAAAGGCCAGGCCGAGGCGCTGATGGGGCGGGGCCTCATACCTCCAGTCCCCTGGCAAGGGCTACGGCTCCCGGGCCTCGGAGGTGGTTCCAGCTCAGGTTCAGCTCAGTGAGTCCTGCGTTTTCCGCCAGGGCTGGTCCGAGGGTCTCTCCTTCAGAAACACCGAGAGAGGCTTTCTTAGTCACTCAGTTTACTCCTTAAACGCGCAGCACCGCGCCAGGACAGCACAGGGTTGAGACGCGCAGCCGCAGGGCGGACCGCGGGGGAGGGTGCTGGTTCACGTCCCGGGACGTCCCTGAATACACTAGTGCGCCTTGCCCAGGTCTGGGGCTGGCTGGGGCTGGCTGGGGGGTGGGCAAGGCGCGCCCATTCGGAGGTAATAACTAAATAAATGGGGTCACTTCTTGACCTGGTGCTTAAGGCACCTGACCGTGCTGTTGGAGTTCCGACCCCAGTGGCTTGAGAAACACACACATGTGCCCGAAATCCTGAAAGGGGGGAGAAATGGAGAAGGAGTTGCAGCGTGACCGCTCCCTGGCTTGGGGGGTGGTGGTGGTGGTGGATGCTTTCGCCTCTCATTCTCTCTCTGTCTCTGTCTCTGGCGAGCGCATGCACCCTCTAAAACCAACCAAGCAACCATAAAAGGTACGCCGCTGGCTGCAGTGGCACTGTGGTAACGTAATGCTCTGTAATGCTGCGGCCACCTGGGAAAGGCCTGGGCTCATGTCCCTTTCATGTCCTAAGGTCCTTCTGTGCACGAAGGTACCCGCACGTGCCCACAATCCTGGCTGTTTGAGGCTCAGGAGAGGACTGTGCTGTGAACACTCTGTTGGCTCTCTCGATAAACTTTTCATTTAAGTAATTGATTTATTTTAAAGAATTATTTTATTGGAACCAGCAGTTAGCGTAATGGCTATGTCACTGGACTCCCATGTAGTCGACCGCAGTTCGTGTCCCAGACCCAGTGGCTTAAAACTCACGCCGGGCGCGTGTGCGTACGTGCCCAGGATCCCGAGAGGAGAATGGAGGAGAAGGGATTGCAGCGTGGCCATCCCCCTCGGGGGGTGATTTCTCGCTTTCTGTCTCTCTGTCTCTCTCTGTCTGTCTGGCGAGCGCACACACCCTATAGCAAAAACCTCTTAAAAACACACACACACACACACACACAAAAGCAAAAAACAGAACCCCATAACCCCCACCCAGCCCCCACCCATTCTGCCAGCTCCCAGCCAGCCTGACCTTCCCAGTTCTCAAAAGCACCAGCACCAACATGCCTCCCACTGTCCCCATTTGGAACCCCCTTCTTCACCTGGCTAACCACTCCTCATCCTTCTACCCTTGCCTGCCTGGCCAGGCTGGAGTGGACCCCTCAAACCCCATGTCCACTGTCCTCCCACCCTCCCAGGCTCTGGTTGTTACACCTCTCTCTGCCTGGCTGGTCTCTGCCACCAGCCTGAGTGGGACTCCCTCAAAGTCCTCCATACAAGCTCTTTCCACGAACCTGGCACGCAGCCAGGGGCTAGACAGGCTGAACGGGCGCTTTCAGCACCACGGAGAGCTCCCTAAGCACTGCCCGAGATGCCGGCTCTACACCCAGGCTCCCAGGTACTTCCAGGGCTGGGAAGCAGTGGTCTCCTACTTTGTGGGGAAGCCACCGGGTCCGGGACTCAAACCAGACCAGTTTCTTTTTCTTTCCTTCTTCTTCTTCTTCTTCTTCTTCTTCTTCTTTTTTTAATAGAAAGTCTATTTCTTCTTCTGAGAGAGTCAGGCATTCCCAGCCGGGTCCTCACACTACGACCCACTCCGAGTCTCAGTCAGCCAGGATCTCGGGCACACACACACGTGTCTGGTATGCCAAGGAGACCCTGGGAACCGAACCCACGTCCTTTTCCCATGTGAGTCCAATGCATCCGGCTGTGTCATTGCCTGGCCCCAGGGAAGCCCTTTCTTTGCTGAACTGCTCAAGGGGGAGGTTTGTTCTCACACACCTAAAGCCAGCTTTCCGTAACTGCTAATGCGTGGTCCCTGAGACCCCTGCAGCCACCCTATGAGGTCGGCGCTACCATCGCCATGGACCGGGTGGGGACAGACCCCAGCTCCTTCCCCCCTCAAGGAGTCGGGCCCACCCACAGTTCTCGGCCTGGCCTAGTCCACCCTGTTCCAGGCCCCACCCTGCCCCCTTTTGCACACACATGTATGTTTGTTTCTTCTTCCTGGAGCCTTGGCTTCTGCCCCTCTCTCCTAAATGCCTGTCATGTGTCCTCTCCCCATGCAGGTCCCAAGGGACAGTTACACTTAATTTGTCCAAAGTTTTAAAATAAGTCTAACAGATGGCATGGAGGTTAAGGTGACTAAACCCCACATGGCTGGCTCCATGGTTTGAGTCCTGGACCCAGTAGCTTGAAAATCAAAATGAGTTGGAACCAGCAGATGGCGTAATGGCTATGTCACTGGACTCTCATGTAGTCGACCACAGTTCGAGTCCCGGACCCGGTGGCTTAAACTCACACCGGGTGTGTATGGGTCCATGCCCAAGATCCCGAGAGAAGAATGGAGGAGAAGGAATGCAGCGTGTATGGGTCTATGCCCATGGGCGTGCACGCACACGCACCCGGCGTGAGTTTAAGCCACCAGGTCTGGGACTCAAACCGTGGTTGGCTTACATGGGAGTCCAGCAACATAGCCATTATGCTAACTGCTGGTCCCAATCATTTTTATTTTTTTTAATTTGCTATAGGGTACATGCACTCACCAGAGAGAGACGGTGGGGGAGGGGAGGGAGAAAGTAAGGCGCCAGGTCTAGGACCTGAACTGTGGTCGACCATGTGGGAGTCCAACACCTCAACCACCATGCCCCCTGCTGGCCCCTACCAGGGGCGATTTTCTAAACAGAACTTTTTTTAAGGGGGATATATTTTTGCTATAGGGCACATGCACTCACTAGAGAGACAGAGAGATGGAGAAAGTGAGAAGCACCCCCCAGGGGGATGGCTATGCTGCAGTCCCTTCTCCTCTCAGGACTTTGGGCATGCATGCATACATGGCTGGCATGAGTTGGAAGCCACTGGGTCCGGGACGAGAGCCACGGTTGACCATGGGTGACCATGTGGGAATCCAGCCCCTTACCCGCTATGCCATCTGCTAGCTCCCGAAATAGACGCTCTGAAAATGAAAGGACTTTCCCACAGAGTAGGGACCACTGCCTCCCACGCCTGGAAGTATCTGGAAGCCTGCGGGTGTCAGATTCTACCTCACTTCCTTGTTTCTTCTTAAAAAAAAAAATTAAATTTGTATTTTAAAAGGCAGAGCGAAAGAGAGACAGAAAGCAAGAAATCACCCTCCAGGGGGGATGGCCACATTGCAATCCCTTCTCCTCCATTCTCCTCTTGGGATCTTGGGCATGCACGCACACACGCCCAGCATGAGTTTTTTGTTTTGTTTTGTTTTGTTTTTTGAGGTTTTCGCTATAGGGCGCGTGCGCTCGCCAGACAGACAGAGAGAGACAGAGACAGAAAGCGAGAACTCACCCCCCAGAGGGGATGGTCACGCCGCACTCCCTTCTCCTCTATTCTCCTCTCGGGATCTTGGGCACGCACGCACACGCGCCCAGCGTGTTTTAAGCCACCAGGTCCGGGACGCGAACTGTGGTCGACTATGTGGGAGTCCAGCGACATAGCCATTATGCTAACTGCTGGTTCCCTCCCCAGCATGAGTTTTAAGCCTCAGGCCCGGGACTTGAACCACAGCTGACTACGTGGGAGTCCAACAACATAACCATTACGCCATCTGCTGGTCCCCAGAACCTGCCTCATGTCATCAGCTCCCCCTCTAGCCGTCCTCAGCTGCAGGCCCCAAAGAGTTTGGTTCATCAGGTTTAGGGCCCAGGAGTGTGTATTCCTAACCCAGGGTCCCAGGTGATTATTTTAACTGATATACTTTTTTTCTTTTTAGTTTTATTTTTATTTATTCCATGAGTCAGAGAGACAGAGGTAGTTTTATTTTTATTTATTCCATGAGTCAGAGAGACAGAGGGATAGACAAAGACACAGCACCCCTGACAGTCTTCATGCCACAATCCACCCCAGCATCAGCAGGTTTGACGGTGGGCATACGCATGTCTGGTGTACTGTAGGCGGTCTCTGGAGGTGAACCAGCAGCCTTCTCATGTGGGTCTGCCTGGCAGAGCATTGCATTGACCACTGCACCACCCTCTAGCCCCCACTTAAAAAAATCATTATTTAATTTTATTTATTATCATTATTTTTTTTTTAATTTGGTATAGGACATACGCACCTACCAGAGAGAGACATGGTTGGGAGTTAAGCCCCTTAACCACATGTCACCTGCTGGCCCCTGGCTTCCACTTTTTTATTTTTTTAAGAGAAATGTTTTGCTATAGGGCATGTGTGCTCGATGGAGAGACAGAAACAAAGAGACAGAAAGCAAGAAATCACCCCCCTTTCCCCCCCTCCAGGGGGATGGCCACATTGCTGTCTCTTCTCTTCCATTCTCCTCTCTGGATCTTAGACAAGTGTGCAAATGCGCCCGATATGAGTTTTGTTTTGTTTTGTTTTGAGAGATTTTTGCTATAGGACGCGTGCGCTCGCCAGACAGAGATTGACAGAGAGACAGAAAGCGAGAAATCACCCCCCAGGGGGGATGGCCACGCCGCAATCCCTTCTCCTC